CTTAAAAACCCTGCTGGGAGTGACAGGATTTCTTTTTGTGCGCGGAGCAGCATCCCGAGGGACGTCCGAATCGTCTTCCACGTTCAGTCTGAAAACTGCAATACGGTTTTCTTTGAGTTTTCTGTGTCACATTTTCTTTATTGCCTGAACCCTGTAAATTAATTCCCCCGTCTCTCGTGACCAGGTACAGCGGGCCTGAACGGCACGGCGGAATGGGGGTGTTGGACGCAGGCGCCTCAACGGCCAAGCAACAGAATTGCCATTCATTTTAATTGCATTGAGGCCTCAGTTTTGTCCTCTTAAAGGTAACAGACGTCGGCAGGCATTTTCTCTTGAGGGGAAGATGTTGCATGATGTAGGAAATCAGGAGATAATCTTCCCAAATTCTTAAAACGCCAAGTCTTCATATAATCAAGGGTTTTAGATTAACAATCGTAAACAAACGATGATTTTCAGTGTCCCTGGCCACTACAGAACATGGCAGAGGCTTCACACTGTGTTTCTGAGACAGGCCCTGAAGATGACAGGTCATATTATTACTGAGGAGTCTGGACTTGTACCACAGCAGTCATAAGTCTCAGTATTTTACTGAGAATCAACGTCCATCTGCCATCCATCTGCAGCAGGGCTTTCCTGAATCCCAGTATCACAATGAGTGCCACAGATCATGCTTTGCAAGTCAGGTAAAGGGGTGTGCAACAGTAGCAGGGTGGCTATTCTTTAAAGGAGGAAAAAGGAAGGAAAAAAAAATAAAAAAGAAAATTTAAAAAGGGAAGAAAACACAACCAGCCACCCTGACACAGGGCTACAACACATAAAAATTCAATGTGTCCATGCCTAATAGGTCTGACAGAACTGGGACATGTGTAAGACCAGCCAGGCTGGTTAGAAACTAAACAGGTGGCACCTAAATTATAGACAGTCCTATTGCTATGTTTAGCAATATCCTTTATTCTATTTCCATTCATGCTTTTAAATATGTTTGGATTGTATTGCATTTTATTCACTTCCTCCCACAGAGAAATAGTGGGCAAAGTACTAGTTAATTTGAGACAAAGATGAAGAGCTGGGAAGAGCTGTAAACAGAGAGGAAAATGAAACAAAAACTGATAGGGAGAGAAAGGCTGCTGGATTTCTTTTGCTGATGGGAATGTTGCCTTCCACCATCATGCCAAGAGCAATCCTTATTGGACTTGGGAAAATCTTGTCTATAGCGCCCAGAAGCAGGCCTGCTGCCCCAGACAATACCATTTATTTGGTATAACTGTCTCCGGGGGAAGAGGGCAGCTAGAATGGGTTCATGAATGATTCCAGCAGTAGCAGCTGCTCTTTTTCCTGGCTAGCAAACAAGAACACTTATAGAAAGAGTTAGATCTACAATAAATTCAATCCTTAAAGGAATAAATCCATGTTTCAGTAATGCACAAATCAAGTGTTATTCACATTCACAGTTAAATGCCTGTGTGAATGTGCAAGCTGACGCGTACAGCCTACCCTGCAGCCAGGATAGATCGTGGTCATCACTCACCAAGGGCATTATGCTTGTCTTTTTAAAAGCAAGTTAGAAGGTAAGTGGGGAAAGCCCCATCCAATACAAAACTTCAGAGGTCTTCAGTCTTGCTATCATCAGAAGAGGATTTACTGGCAATGCTAAGATGTTACGCCATTCACTACATTGCCCCTGTTCAATGCAATGCACTAATTGTATTACTGGAGGCTTGATGCAATAACCTTTTATTAACAATCTATGAGCTCCATGAGCAATTTGCTAGCTCATAGAAAAAAGAAATTGGACTTTCACCTAAGTTCATGAGCTTGCTTTTTTTTTTTTTTTTTTAATCTGCATAATGGATCAAAGATCTACCCTGTAACAACTGGTTTAATTACAAATATACAAAATCAGGAAAGGCCAAGGCACAGTGTTCAATACTACCACGCTGCACAAAGAAATTCTACATTCTGAATTATTGCTAAAATGGCACCATCTAATGAACAGGGATATGATTTGGGTTTTGTCTCAGGGAAAATAATATTGAGTGTTAGTGGCTGAAGTCACAAATCCTGTGTAACAGTGTACTTGTAAATAGCAAAGCAGTAGGTTTAGAGTACATCTGCTTCATCATGTTCTTTAACCATATCAGTGACATGGAAACAGGCAGATTTAAACTGCATAATTATTAACAGAGTAACTATCCTTAACTGTCCATTCTTTCACCTCTTCACAAAAAGGGATTCACAAAAGCTGGTTTTCCATAAATGGCTGAATTTTGTAGTGTCTGTCCTTAACTTCAATAGGTCATAGTCTGAAATTTTAAGATTATCAGAAACTGGTGTTGTCTAGTTGAATAGTTTTTACTTACCTCTATTACTAAATGGTTCCTCAGTAAAATTCACTTTTAATAACCATTTGGAAATAGACAGTTTCCAAAGACTTTTTGTTAAATTTCTGACTGAACTGGAAGAATCTTATTAGAGAGAACTTTTTTAAAAACACAATTTAGACTGAATCTTGAAGTATTTCCAGCAGTATCCTAAGAATCTTAACCCTCTTCTTTCAGGCAGCAAAAAAGGCAGCAAAAAGGTCTCAAACCTAGAAAATGGTTTTTGATATGGCATGTTATCACACAGATGATCCCAAATATTACAGTAACCATTTCTGAAGGTGACAGATGCAGAAAGACCTTCATGGATAACAACCGTTGTGTCCTAGAAGAAGGAACATGCATCCTTGAGACAAAAAGTCCATTTATTCAACATTTACTATGAAATACAGTTTTTGAAATACACCACCTGCCATGCGTGTGAGATAGCAGAAAAGGAAGAGGTTGAAGAACTTGCAGACAAGACAAAAACCAAGGTAATCTCACATCATCCTTTTAAAGTGCCTTTCTCTGCACTGAAGTGTTACTTTAGGTTATACATGGACTTGTTATTTTTACTGTGTCAGCTAGAGCGTGTACTAAGAAGGCAGTCCCTATGGTTGACTCTGTACACATTCCTGAGGCTCTCTTTAAAGAATTTAACCCTTTTCTTCTTTTTGCAGGCTGTTGTGTTGGGCACTGGGCACTGGGCAGGCTCCCCAGGGAATGGTCACAGCTGCCAGAGCCCCAGGAGTGTTCAGACAGCGCTCCCAGGCAGAGGGTGGGATTGCTAGGGTGTCTCTGTGAGGCCAGGAGTTGGACTCCATGATCCTGATGGGTCTCTCCCAGCTAAGGAGATTCTGTGATTCTGTGTGCACTAGAGCTACTGAGCATGATGCTAAATGTATTAGAGGTTCCCTGTTTTCTAGCCTGTCAGGCAGGGTTGTGGGGTTGCTCCTGGTTGACTTGCTAAATAGTAGGTCTGCACCATATAGGTTTTACAGAGGAAGGAAAACTGAGATGTGAAGAAAAGCAGAGTTCATGTTCAACTGCCTGTGGCAAACATTACACAAGAAAGATTTCTTAAAGTGGACAGTAAACTAGGAAGTTGTCCTCAGAAAAGAAATCCAAATCACAGTTCATAGCTTAAACAAATCTGGTAAAAGTGCGGTGTCTGTAAAAGGTTCGTGGTCTCTATCCAAACTGTAAGATAAAGAGCAGTGAAAAGAAAAAGGAAAAAATAAGCATTGCAGAGACAAGAGAACTTAGAACAGATTAAGCCCTAACTGACAGTGAGAAACATGGCATAACTTTTATAGAAATAAAAAATTTATCTATATATCTATCTATCTATCTATCTAGATATATAGATAGGCTTTACAATGCAGGCACTTTGAGCACAGTAATTTTTTTAAGGCAAGGTTTTAATATGGGAAATTAACACAAAACCTAATTCTGATATGGGAAACTTTGAAACTGAAAGACTTTTTAACTATATTAAAATCAAGGAGAAATAATTTCGGCCCATATGGATCCCAGTTGTATGAGATAAAACACTGTGGTGCACATCCCTCTGAAAAAGGTTTCCCTCTTGTTGTTTTACCTTATAAATCTATGGTTATTTTTTAATATCCATCTAAAATTCTTGTCCAGTGTTCCTGAGAATTATTTCTTTAAGCATAAATATATTTACTTTATCCTGTTAGCAGTTTATTTTAATCAAGACGCTTCTATGTGCCTTCTGACTCACGTCTGTTCTTGCTTTCAAACAGTGTAAACCACATTAACAGATTAATTTTGTAAGTGTTACTATACCTCAGGTAGATGGTAGATGGACGAAATGTATCTGTATCTTCTTTTGAAATTTCAGGTTTTGGCTAAACTTATATTTTGTAAACAAAAAGAATGTGTGCTTAAAATTACAGAATATATTAGAATTGTTAAAAATCATTCAATTATGTTTTATAAGCATTCTTTTTTTCTCCTATAATTTTTCCCATAGTTACTATTCCTGGAATTCTAATACTATAGAAAGTGTCAATGTTTTAAAATCTTTCTTTACTTCTTCTTCCCATGTTCCAAGTTAGGAAGAAGACTAAAGCTCTATGAGGCACAAAATTGTGCTTCTAGTATTGTTTCCTTCACCAGAGAGCTCTTACTGCTTATTTTAAATAACAGTGATCAAAATCCTCATGATGGTTTGTTTTCTCAGAATACCGATATGCTCTTTCATTCATTTCTGTGCAATAGCCAGTCTTCTAAATAGAGACACGTAAAGTTAAAGCAATACTCAGAACCTCAGAAGACATCTGAAACAACTACCTTTTCCCTTTCCAATAGCTTTTATATTTAAAAAGAAAAATCTAAATATCCATATACCTTGTGAATAAGTATCTTAATAAATAGGAAGTAACCTTAAACCACATATGTCAATTGTTTCTCATTTTTGCAATAGAAAAAACTGATAGTAAAAAGTCACAACACATTTTAGAGAAAAGAGAGTGTTTAGACATCAGTATTTTCTTTCATATTCCTGTCCAGTTTGATGTCTTCAACCCAGGCTAGAGCAGTGGCAGTTACTCCACTGGTGATTAAAATATCTTTGCTTATGGTCCTTTAGCAAGGAATTTTAGCTACTAAAAACTTGTTTAAAAAACTAGTTAAAAGCCTTTAACTATCTTTCTATGTACGTATTATAAGAATCTAATAGTTGCACAAAACAAACATGTACATATATATATTCATAAGCATACGGGATTAAAAGAGCTTTTGAACAAGAATAATAGCAGTGTAAGATTTTACTGAAATCCATCTAAGCTCTGCTACTGAGGATAGTATGTAAGCAGGGTGGGGAATGCAATGTTTTACTTCCGTGTTGATGAGAATGAACTGGAATCCAGATACAACATAATTATTGTTATTATCACATGGTGACTAATTCTGTGTTAAAGCAGAGAAGGAAGTGGGAGGAGCAAAACATCAGGAATTATTAGTTACAGTACATACAATGAGTTCATTCTGCTTTTCCTGTAATTGGCAGTGGAGTTGTCTCAAAAGTTGTCTCAAATTTATTTATTTATTTATTTATTTACCTTAATTTTTATTATGTAAGACACTTTTATGGGTAGGAACAAATGACTGTGATTAAAACATAATTAAAACCAGACAGCATTTGCAACTGTTGGTGAAATTACACCTCTTTATTGCTCTTTCTTTATGATTGAACAGATTAATATCCCTTTCTTAAGGTTCCAGTAGGAAAAAATGAAAATAAACATCTGTGTTTTGCTGGGTATTTAATAGGACCAGAGTAAATCTCTTCCTCTTATGCCTTACACAAATGAAAAAATAAATATCAAGTACATTTGACTTAATAAACCCTGTGTAGGATTAGGAATATAGACCTTGTTTCTGCTGTTGTATGTACTACAACTGTATTTCATCTGTGGAAAAGCTGCTCAACTCCCCATCTGCTTGATATTTTTCTTTTCCTTTACAGTGCAGATGTGGTAGATACAGTGGTGCATTAAAAAAGAAAATAATCATTCATTTAAAACTAATGGGTGTGTACATAAATATAACAAAAGCCTAGCTAGAATTTACCTGAGAAGTGATTTACACAAAAAAGGCCCTATATCCGCTCAACTCTACCCATTTAAAACCAGCTTAAGATAAAGAAATTGAAGGGGTGAAAAAAGGATTTTATTTTGACCAAAGACAGGGAACCACCAGTTGGCAGAGATGGAAAGGAAGAAGAAAGTGGATAAGGTCACTCATCTACTGCATGTGGCATAAGGTTTTCTTGGAGGTTTTTATCAGGGAGGCTCATGTGTGGCTGAGAAAGCATATCATCACCTTTGTCTCATACAGAGAGGACTGGAAATAACAAGAAGCCAATGCCGGAAACAGATTAAGAAGTGAAAACTGACTTCATGGGATATTAAACTACAGGAGCATTTTTGTCACCTTAATTCTTTTACTGATGCTATGATAGGTGCTGCCCGTGTCGCATAAACTGTGAGTCTCAACATACACAGAGATTGTGGGAAGGAGCGGCAAATACCAGACTTGCATTTCAGAGCTATAAATCAAAACAGGTAGTGACACACATCTTTGTGATGACTGATTATTTTATCCTCACAGACACACAGCAGTAGCAGTAATTCCAGAATTTAGCTCTGTGATGTGCAAAAAAGGGATTATCTTCTTGTTTGCTTAGAGCTCACTATCTGATAATTTAATTTGATACTTCCTAATTTCTGAAATAAAAGAACAAATGTTTCCTTTTCAAGTTCTGACTTTATAGATACCTATCATTTTTACTTTAAGTTATAGGATTCTAGTCCGTTTTCAGTCCATGAGTTCTGTAATTTTGAACATCCTTTATTTTAGTTTTTTGGTTCTACTAGATAATTTCTGTCAGAAGTAGCTGTAACTGAACTCATTATTCAGGGTGCAGGCACACCACAGACTAATAGTGGTTTAGTGGTGACTTCACTTTTGCACTGTATTCCCTTTCTAAGCACTTGTAACACTGTACTTGGGGTTTTTATCACTACAGGCCATGGGGAAATACAGATGCCTAAGGATTCAGTCTGGAATGAAATTCATGCTGCTTCCCAGCAGGGGGGTTGAACTGTGTCTCCTCTGTATGCTGGATTGTAAAGCAAGCCAGAGTAGCTGCCTTCATTGTACCTTGTGTTATTCCCATATTCTCACTAGACATCTTCTATTAGCTTGTGTTGGTTTTATGTGCAAGGATTTTGTAGTGGAATGGCTACAGGAGTGGCTTCTGTGAGAAATCACTGGAGTTTCCCCCTTGTCCAATAGAGTCAGTTTCAGCCATCTCCAAGACAGACCCGCTACTGCCCAAAGCTGAGCCCATCAGCAGTGTCAGTGGTGCCTCTGTGATAACATGTAAGAAAGTGTCAAAACACTGTGGAGCAACTGGGTCGAGTGAGAAAAATGTATAATAATCCTGCAGACAACCAGGGTCAGTGAAGGAGGGAGAGGAGGTGCTCCACATACCAGAGCAGGTTCCCCTGCAGCTCATGAGGAAGACCATGGTGATGTGCGTTGAGTCTCTGTGGCCTATGGAGGACCCCGCACCAGGACGGTCTGCTGGCAGAAGCCCCCTGTGGTCCAGGGAGAGGTGACAGGAGCTGGATTTCTAACAGCATCTGTGGCCTGAGGGGGACCCACACTGTAACAGTCTTTTCCTGAAGCACTGTTCCCCATGGAAAGGGCCCATGCTGGAGCAGTTCTTAAATAACTGTAGCCCATGGGAATGACCTATACACGAGCAGTTTGTGAAGGACTGTATGCTGTGGGAGGGATCCCATGCTGGAGAAAGAAAACAGCATGAAGAGGAAGGTGTGGTGGTGTTCACTGACATAATTTTCTTCTTAGTAGCTTGTACGGTCCTATGTTTTGGATTTGTGATGAAAACAGTGTTGATAACTGGAATGCTTTACTGCTGTGTAGTGCAATCCCCATTCCCCGTCCCCACTGCGCTGCTCAAGGGAGAGGAGATAGAAGAGTCAAAACAAAGCAGTAAAGCTGAGCCTAGGAAATAGGGGAAGGGGTGGGAGATTGTTTTTCATTTTGTTTCTCACCATCCTGCTCAATTTTAAATCGGCAATACCTTAAATTAATCTTCCCCCAGTGAGTTCTGTTTTGCCCCTGATGATAATTATTAAGTGATCTGTCTGCCCTCATCTCAAGCCACATAATTTCTCACCTTATTTTCTCCCCCTGAGCCCTTGAAGAGGTGGAGTGGGAGAGTGGCTTAGTGGGTGTCTGGCAGCCTGCCAAGGTTAACCCACCACACCGACCCTGCTGGAAACAAAATACTGTCTTGGATGCTCATTTTCTGATCTCGCATAAGCAGACTTGTTTGTTTTTTCCTTGAATATTCCATAAGTAGGAAATGTGTCCAACTAAATCTCCGTCAACTGCTGACTTTTTCCTTTCTCACAAGTGTGAGTTTAATAGCTCTACTGGGAAGGTGGCTCCATTACTGTTATGCATATACACCTAAATAAATCTAAATGTTCCTGCCTGAAAGGACTGAACCTGAAATCTGAATCTCTGGTTAGGGACATATGGCTTTTTCATTTGAGGCAAGCTTGTGTGAAATTTGGCAAGTCTGAAACAAATTAATTATATTATTTCCTTTCCAATATTGTGCCCAAACCCATTGGGTGTGTCATATACAGTGCTTCACATAAAAAGGGATTAGTTTTTGATCATATTACCTTGATCTGGAAAAGGGTGAATTTTTATGTGTTACTTTGTGTACCAGCTAGTGAAGCTATCTTTTCAAGACGCATAAAGGAAGTGACCACTGTTAATAACTTTCACTTCTTTCTTTTTATCTACAGTCTCAAAGATCACTTCTTGTCCTCTCCAGCATGCCAGGATGGATGTGTGATCCAGAAAGGTTCTAAAAGCCTTGACCCAGTGCCTGAGAAGTTGTGCACAGGAGAAAAGGATGGGAGGGTGTCCTGGGGTGACTGGTTACCCAGAATGGGATTGTGAGTTGTGATTGTTACAAGTGAAATAGCATGTTCCCACCCTGCAGATATCATTTGTTTGGGTTTTTTTGATCAAAGACTTAGGAGAAATACACAGTCCTTAAAGAATACAGGGCCTATTGCTTTTTTGTGTTTCATTTAGACGTCATATCCCAGTGATTCAGAAGGCTCTGCTCTTCATCATAGAAATCAGGATCTAAGATTCAGGAATAATTAAATGCAGGCTTCTCCTATTTCACATGCTTTTTAACTTTATAACTTCGGGTCAGTTTGGGTTTTAAGGAAAGAAGAATGGCTTTGTCTTCCACAGCTTCAAGTCATTTATTTCTGGTTTGGTTTTATTTTCTCCTTCTCTTCATTTTAAATATCAAATACAATAGAAAAGGCTTTCATTTAGATGCTTTGTGCAATTTTTGACTTCAGGAAATAATAAATTTGTTTTATCCAAACTGTACACCCTAAATAACAAATATATAACATCACATTCATAAGGTAGAATAAGAAAACTTAAATCTTACATTTTAAATCAGATTCTTAGTATAGTTAAGTAGGACTTCTTAACCTTTTAATTCTTAGAGCTTGAGACTACTAACAAATCTATTGCTTCCAAAAGCAGCCAAAGGAGATTTGGCCACAAGCTGTCAAAACAAGAAATTATCACATCTAGAAGTATCTGCTTTCTTTGTGTACGTTTGTTGAGTAGATGGAGAACTAAAATATTAGTGAAATAACTGCATTTTTCAAACCACTATTCAAATTATTATTAACATAAAAACCTTTACTGTTTTGAGTGATGATTGGCAGAAAGTCATAGAAAGAAAATGCATGGCAGACTATTAGCATGTTCACTTCTCATTAAAGATGTAAAGGATAAAAAAATTCTAAAAATACAACCAGTAACATTTTACTTCTAAAACAATGAAATGCGGAAGAAAAGGCTTTTTCAATGGGAGAAGCTCTGAATAGAAGCTGGTAGAGCCTATTTAGAAGACTTTTGTGTGACTCCTATGCTGAACAAAATGTGGAATCTAAGCTGTTGTTAAATGCAGATAAAGGTCAGAGATCATGATCTCTGGAGACAATTGTTTGCAGTATTTCCAACTTCTTTTGTGTACAGGAGGCATGTGCAATGCAAGAAAGTAGACAAATCACTGCAAAATAAGGTTTTCTTGGCAACAGAGAGGAATTTACTGCGCCTAACAAAGACCAGCATACGGATGGATTTGAAATTCAGACACAGACAACTGTCGCAATCAAGAACTGAGAATAAGCATTTGTCTTGCGTCTGCTGGCTAGTAGGGCAAGGATATAAAGCAACTTTTTTCTAGGAAGTTGCCCCTTTGCCCCTGGAGTACTTTCATAGGAGTTCACACTTAAAATCTGTAAATTTAATTTTTAGTTATAAGCATTTACAGAACCTGTAGTTCATACATATTAACATAGCATGTCACGCTCTGTGATCTGGAGTATCCCTTCGCCAGTTCAGATCCACTGTCCTGGACATGCTCCTCCCCAGCTTCTTGTGTACCTCCCTGATGGCAGAGCACATGAAACTGAAAAGTCCTTGACTTAGGATGGGCACTGCTGAGCAACAACCAAAAGCATCACAACATCAATATTATTCTCATATTGAAACCGAAATACAGCACTCGCTGGATCAGCTACTATGAAGAAAATTAACACTGTCCAGGTTAAACCAGGACACTGTGCAGACACTGACATCTCTCCAGATTCCAGTGAAAACTAATATTGCATATAGTATCTGCTAGTAGTGTGATTACTGATCTCTTAGAAGTGGTTCTGCAGACTTTACTCAAGTAAATAAGCTTTGAGGATGTAAATTTACACTTAGAAACATTACTGACATCCTCTGTAAGACAGCCTGTGACATTCTTTCTTAGCTCTCTAGACTGATTATCAAGCCCTGAGATGCTGCGGGGCTTGCGGATCTTCTCACAAACCATAATGGTTAGCATACTCATAAATCTTTGTAAAACAAGGTGTTGAAAGAAGCGAAAAATAAAATTGACATGAAGATACTGGCTGCACCAGCACTGGGCTCCGAAGTTTGCAATAGGAACTTGGGCTTGGACACCAATAACACATATTAAAATGTATGTTTTATAATTTATTGAAAACATGCAGTTTTCTCTGGAAACAATTTGGGGATATCTGTTTTCACTGGTTTGGAAATGTAGCTTTGTTTTTACTCATTGATTACCTTGAGATATGCCACTCTTCTGAACTAACTACAGTAATTTTTTTACTTTGTAAATACTAAGTGCCACCCTGAAAACTCAGCTTTTCAATCTTGTTGACATGATTTCTAAGAACTTTCCCAAGACAGTGACTGTAAGCATAGATAAGTATACATTCTTTCTGATACACGTCTTTTGGTGGACGTCTCACACGAACAGTGTGATTGGAAAGGTGGTAACCTAACTATCTGATCCCTGGTCATTGCCAAAAATCTATAAATACTGAAGCTGTAAGAATAAAACCAGGTTTTTCCCTGTCACATGAGAGCTGTGTCTGTGTGAGTCATTCCATGTCCTACAGCGACACTAAGAAGTCTACAGTCAGGTTGCTCGTATAATGTATGCTGCATTTCTTGCACCCAGTCAGACCCGTGCAAAACTAGAAAGCAATTTAATTTTTTTTATTTAAATGTACATAGTCCTAATGCTTTTGTATAAATGCACCAAATATTAGTTCTAATTGATAACCATATAATTTACTCATGAAATACAAAAAGAATGGATAGACATTTTAAAACAAGGATATTGCACTCAGCTAAAAGGTTTCAATTAAAATTGACTATTTTGGTTGGAAAAAACCTACAACAATCATCTTGTACAGCTGCCTGACTTCTCAAGGACTGACCAAAAGTTGAAGTTTTTTATTAAGGTCACTGCCTGAATGTCTCTTCAATACTTGGGACATCAACTCCCCCTCCAGGAGACCTGTTCCAGCATATGACCACCCTCCTGGTAAAGAAATGTTCCCTCATGTCTAGTCTGAACCTCTTCTGGCACAGCTTTGAGCTATTCCCATACTTCCTGTCCCTGGATCTTAGGGAGAAGAACGTAGCACTTGCCTCTCCATGTCCACTGCTCAGGGACTGGTAAAAAGCCTAGAGGTCTCCCCTCAGTTGTCTTCTCTCCTAACCAGACAGGCCCAGAGCCCTCAGCTGCTCCTTCCTGGACATGCCTTTCAGCCCCTCACCAGCTTGGCTGCCTTCTCCAGCGGCATCCGAGGACCTTCCTGTCATTCTCCAGCGCTGGGGCCCAGTGCTGCCCATGAGTCTCATGGTGAGGCCACATGGATGCTGAGCACAGAGGGACCATCCCCCTTTGTGAACATCTGGCTCCTGCTGAGCTGCTGCCAACCAGCACCCCTGGGCTGGGAATTTTAAGCATAAGTCATTGATGTGCCAGTACAAGAAGTAAACGAAGATGCAAATTGTCAGAAGCTCAGGAAACAGATCATTTAGGCTAAACACAGGCCTGCCAGATCATTCTTAAATAACTGGATCTGTAAGAGGATTTTGCTATGTAATACAAGAACCTCATCTCTTTCTGGTCAATTGATCCTTGCCTAGGAGACGTAAAAATCAATTTCAGCCTCCTTCTAGGAAAACTCTCCCTGTCTTTTATGAAACGTCCTTATATTACACTATTGGCTAGACTGTGGATATGAGAAAATAAGGAGGGTGGATCCCGTATTGCAAGCTGTTACCTAGATAAAGGTTAAAAATAATTCAATATTCATGAACCCAGGAAATAGGATTATTTCTTTTAAAGCATCATTGCCTTTGCTACTAATAACCAGACATATTAATGCATGGGAAATTAGTTTGTTTTCACAGAAACAAATTATTCTTCTGGATGAAAAGGTAACTTTTATATACAGATTTTCACATTCAAGACATTTAAAAATTAAGGATCTATTTGGAATGTTAATGAGCATAAATGAAGGCCTCATCCAAAATCCAGACAGTAAAATTTTTTGAAATCACACTTTTCTTTTGATGATCTATTATATTTTCTCCCGAAGACATATAGTTTTTTGTTGAACATATCTCTCTTACCTTATTGATGCTTCCTATGTGATCCATTGTATTTTAGCCACTGTCTTCATAATACTTTCTTTCATACTATCTGTAGCATGAAGCATGCATAATGACCCATTGGATATTTTTGAGATAACTGCTGCTCTGATACAGAAGGAAAATCAAAGATGGTCTTAAACCCCAGTATCAGGCAAAGTAGTGAGGAAACAGCACAGGAGACAATGATGTATTTCTCCACTGGATGGACGGTGGTCTCAGCAAAAGGCCATCATGTATTTAAAGGCTGAATTCTAAACCTTAGGCACAGGAGACCAGTGTAAAGACTGCAGAGACGCAAGTGCCTAACGGTTCGATGATCCTTGCGGGTTGCTTCCAGCTCAGAATATTCTGTGATTCTGTGATATGGTGCAAGACTCGGGATACGCTCGGAGGCAATTCTCAGCTGAACCTCGGCAATCACCCGGTGGCGCCTGTCCCCCCACAGGGCGCGGGCCCGCATGTCGCAGTTATAAAATATTTAGACTCTTCGGAATGAAAATTGCTAAATATCTTAAAAATATCTACTGCTTTAATAGAAATCCTGAAAAGCCTTGGTTAAATAAAATGCATTTAACCTTTACCTGAATTTTCAAGCCTAAAAAGAAGAAGAATTTAGCCAGAACCAAATACAGAGCCAACTCCACAACTCGATGAAACGGTGAGTTTCAGACCAGCAGGTGGGGCTGGAAACAATCCTGTGGTGGTGTCATTTATCAGTTAACCACTGAAACTACACACTGCCAAGACGACATGTACAAAAACCAAAAAAAAGAATAGTACACCAACAAAACAGAAAAAAGGCTTTCACAATATTTTATTTACTTTAAAATGCCCATGTGTAGGTAGAAATAGGTTTCTGAAACATATTCCAGGCTCAATTCCTCTATTGTGTAATCCCATAACATCTTGTGGGCTTTTTCCCCTTTTTCTATCTCAGTACCCACTTTCCTCACGGATGCAGCATGATTTCTTTTCCCCTTGTAACAGTTTATTAGCACCACTTGACACAGTAGGTGAAATCAGAATCAGACACCCTGGGCTGCAGTAACAACTAATTTTGATGTATCCCATGACACTATTTCTCCATTCTCTTGTGAGGAAAGCTGTTCACAGGAGTCGATTTTGCTCTGGAAAGCTAAACACCGAAGCAACTCCATAACTGAATTATTATTGAGTGCGAAAAACGAGGTTCACATATTTTTTTATAGAATTTAAAAGTTTAATAGAAAGACAATTAGGACATAAAAATAAAGTATGCATTCACTCAAGAGAGCACATCTTACTAACAAAGGATTGTCCCTTAAGAATTCTACTACATATTCATAAATTCTCATACATGATTCAAACATTCTTCTTAAGTTTTGGATGTTTCTTTGTTTAGTTTTTGACTCTCCCTCTTCTCAATAAATCAATCATCTTGGCTCCACCGAGTTTTACATTCCCTGATAACAGAAATGCAATAAATTCCTCCCCCAGAGCTCTGGTCACTGCTGTCCTCATCTGGACAAGATAATCTAAGAATTGAGGGGGGGGTCACCAACTATCTTTTTCAGTCTTTTGGTTATACAAACAAAAGTAATTTTTGTTTTAATATTGTGCCATAGCTCAACACATATGTATATTATACTACTATTTCTAAGTTTCATCAATAACAGAAATAGAAGGAACTATATTAATATAACAAAGTTTTCTAACCTTATACATATAACATTCATTTTAATATTTGCGAAAAGCCAACAATATAATATGCATCTATAATATTGATTAACTGATTCCCAGTGATATGCAAAGACAGGCAAGACCACACTGCAAGACAAATTTTATTACCCCAATCCTAATACTCTCAAACTGTTTTTAAATACCCTTTGAGAAATTATTTTGTTGCAAGCCATTATGCCGCTTTGTTGTGTAATTTGTGCACACTTTTTGGTAGTTATATGAGAAGGACAAGGTCACTTATTGCATCACTGAAACAGCTGAGTGTATATACTGGGGAGAAGTTAATCACTGATTTTTGAAAATATACATGGCATCTGCCTCTTCTAGCAATTTTACTACTTTGTATCCCTTGCTAATAAGGCTCATATCCATGTAAATGAATGTAATTTCACCAGATTGTAAAACACCAGATTTGCCTTGTTTATATGTCATTATCAATGTTAAAGATTATTTTCATAAAATATTAGAGACTTTCTATTCAGTTACAGTCATAAAGGCTGATGTCACTTTATGCCTTCTGAGTCTCAATCAATTAAGAATTGGTCACCTTTAAAATCAGTCATGGACTTTTTAACTGTCTCCTGCTTCTTCTTCAAGATCATCTTTCTTCTAATCTCAGACTATAGCAAGAATTTAGCATTTTGCTGAACAAGTAATATTGTCTTGAATTTAAATAATGTAAATTCAGTAAGAAAAATATTTACATTTGAGGAAAAGTGGATTGAATTATGAATTACTGCTTATCTGTGAAGTAAAAATCCTGGATTTTGACTCTAGCTCTGAAGAGCAAAATAAAGGTCTCACAAAAAGAAAGTGTATATCTTACATTTTATCTTACATTATAATATCTTACAATATTTTACATTTTAATAACATAGCTCAGCTTGCTTCTATTTAGTCTGCAGAATTAAAATTTCTTACACTAATACGTTTAGATTCCTGTGATTACACTTTGCACAATTAAATTTAGAATGTGTTTTGTTTGGAAGGTGTCATACGTATAGCTTCTGTGTTATTGTCACTTCATGAAATAAAAACCAAATATAGTAAAAAATACTCGTCATTTCTCATAATTTAAGGCACATTCATGGCATAGTATCTTATCTATCAAAACTGTAAGTTCTTTTGTAGCTTTAGGGTAGCTTGTTAAACTATATCCTAGACCAACTATTTAGTACACTTTTTGCCTACTTTTGCCAAATAAATGCTTCTTTCCACTGCTACTTTATAATGAGGAAAAGGAGTATCCTGATAGAGCCAACAAATCAAGACTCAGGAGAAACCATCAGAATTGTCAAAGTAAAAAAGAATAAACATGAGAAATTTGTGTCTTTATCACATGGAAACAAAGGTAATGGTGGAAAGCATAGGAATAATGCAAAAAAATGGAGAAGAATCTCATTATTTTGAGGAAATTACCTCCATTTGTACTAAAAATACTGCATAAAAATTATATCTATCTCAGCATCTTGTCAAATGATCTGCAACAAAAAATAGTAATATGTACACATTTTCGGAGGAGTGTGCAGTTGTCTGCACGCATCCATTATGGACAGCAAAGCAGTTAGTACCATGGTGCTGGGAAACATGCAAACGCCAGGAGCTGGCAGCCTTCTTACCAATTACCTACTTAAAATTAAACCTTTCAGAAACTACTTATGGAGTGTGGCAATTGTTTCCTTTGTCTAGACGA